CAGGAATGTCATGAATGAGCATGAGGGCTTAGCTGCATACCATGTAGCTATAATATACCCATGCTGTATGGGCTTCAGTTGTCAGGGTGTTCTACACATTGCAGTGATGCAGATCACCTAACAAACTTAGTAATTACAGATCAGCTTATTGGTCCAGTCTTGGATTAGCTGTTAGCACTTCAGTGGCCTATGTGGTGATCAGCTCTATACTGATAAACATTGTCATATGAACTGGAAAGGAGAGAGAAGGTAGGCATATATTGGTGGTACTATCGAAACAGTTATTGTTTCTGTTTTTGAAACAGTTATTGTTTCTGTTTCTTCTGCTTTGGACAAACAGAACCCATCAATAGGACTTAAATATCAAGATATTCCTCCTTGTGGAAAAAAATTGTATCCTCCAGAGAAGCCTTGCAGTTAAAGCTATTTAAAAAAAAAAAAAAACAAACCCTACCAAACATATTTCCCATAAGCAGATGTGTTAACAGATAACGAAGTGTTAGATTGGTTATGCCTTTTGTTATGCCTAACATTTTATGTGGTCTTCTGTAATTGAACTCTAAAAGATCAGTAGTTTTTTTGGTCTCGTCTGTATGGCTTTCTGTAGCCAGACCACCTCCATGCAGATTGTGGCTTTCACAGCCACTCTCTAGGATAAATCAGTGTACTCTGCATCTTCAGGCTAACTTTAAAGGAGTGTTTAGTGTTTACTCCTGCCAGTAAAAGAACATATATCCTGAAATAAAAAGACTGGTACAAACAGGAGAAACTGAATATATAGTACTAGATAAATAACAGGGGAGAGATCTCCTTTCAGTAATTTCACATGCTAGCTTTTAAATGGTAATCTGCTTTCAGGTTTTGTTGTTGCTGTTTATTAAATATTTGGCATAAATAAAATTCTCCCAAAGATATGTAGCCTACCAGTCCTACGTGTTTTTTGTATAGAATAGAGTCTTTCATCCAGATATGAGCAAGCTACCAGTGCAGTCTTGGAGTCGAAGCCTCTTTGCATAGGCTATATACTATGAATAGCTGTTCAAAAGGATTTTCTTAGTTTGTCAGTCTTCTAAATTCAGCATGCGTTTAAAACTTTTTTTCAGTACAAAGTTTACACACTGTCCAAGCTGCTGGTGCCCTGCTAGCATCTGTCTGATTAGGAAGACTTTCTCAATTGGTAGTCTTCCCTTTTCTCTGTCTGCTGGTGCATTTCACCCATTGAACTGGGTGTTTGCAAACAACTTTACCTCATTTGTGACCTAAGTGAAGTTTAAGTCTGGAAGTTAGGGTGCTGCTATGGGAAGGAGCAGAGCTGTACTTTTTAATTGAATGACCTTCTATACGGATGATGAATAAGTTCTGTTTCTAGAATCACTGAAAATACTTTGGTCTGACCGATTAATGGAGGGTACAGAAGGAGGGCAACTCCCCATGGTGCCAGAAGGGTAGGTGCAGACTGACACACCTGACTTAATTGCAGTCCTACAGGGGAAAAAAAAAAAAAAAAAAAAAGGAGCCTTATTCTCAGTAGCTGGGAACCTTCATTTGTCATTGAAGTCAGAGTTTCTTGGCACTGGTGAAAAATGTCATAGCTGTGAATCTTGAAGTTCTCTAATGGTGAGAACACAGTGCGTAAGTAGTTACAGAGAGCTGAAGTGCCTGAGCCATATACCTTAGAGCCTTCTGGGGCAGAGGTGGCTCTGAACCCTTCTCCTCCAACGGTGGTGCACCCTCCGGAAGGATGCCCTTGGCATGAGGCAGCTCAGCAGCCCATTTGACTGGCTCCAATAAAAATACTGCTGCTGCCGCCAACTTGCTTGTGTTGTGTTTCCTTTGTTGCCAAAGGGTTGTCTCTGCTGTCATTCAGATGGGAAGCAATGACTTGTGGTATTTTTTGATGTCTCCCTGCATGGTTATAAAATGAAGCTATATACCGCCCCCCACAATACTGGAAATATTTAATAGTAAAGGTGATTGAATAAATACCTTCCATTATGTTGAAACCAATAAAGAAAGTCCACTAGCAGGCTTTTAATCTCATTGGAGCATAGGCGTAGCTGAACCTTGTCTAATTTTGGTTTCCACCAGCCAGATTATTTCATTGCCCTGTCTGCTGAGATAGAAATGAGAGCGAGCTACCATAATAGGTCACTTCATTTTGTAGGGTTTCACACAAGGTTGAGGCTACCAGGCTAATATTCATTATTTATATAAATGAATTAGCAGTACTTTAATTTAAAAAAAAAAATAAATCCCTAACCAATCAAACTTGTTCACTCTTCTTGCTCTTTCTGTGAATAACAAACAGTCTTCTGTAGGTTTGTCAGCTGGCCTGTTAAGCAGAGTAGGTACCATGGGAACCTGTGTCACGGTACAGTGGTTACAGCCTACCATGTTCTGGGCATGCCTATACCACGAGTATGTCGTGCAAGGCACTTGCTTAACCTGCTGCGTACTGTCTAGAGGAAAGTACTGTAAAGCAGCCATCATTCTGTGGGTTGGAACCGAGTTAGATTGTCCATTTCTGTGGTGTCATTGGAAATAGGAGGTAAAAACAGTGAGGCAAAACTGAAATGTCAGTCATCTAATTTACAGGGGGGAAAAAGACAGAAAAATTCTTAGTAAAACCTCTTTTAAAAAAATTGTTTGCTACATAGCCTTACCAAAGTATATGTAACAGCTTCTGATTTAATTTTGAGTATTCAGGAGCACTTCTGCACTTTTTCTGGCTTTTAAGTAACTGGGTTTTCTTTCAAAGTCTGACTTTAAGCACTCAATATCAAGAAGTTTGACAAGCTTGTACCTTAATTTGACTAAATGTGTTGGAGCTAGTGATTTCCCCCCCCCCCCTTTTTTTTTTTCTTTTCATCATAATAGAACTCTTGCTAAATTACATGACTGCCACAGCTGGGAACTTGCTATGTTAATTTAGTAAGCAGTTAGAATAATCTAGAAAAAACTGGTATTAACTGGCAGCCCACAGGGAGGATTTGGTGCAGTGACTCGAGAGAGCTACTTTTGCTTTGGAAGATAGAGGAAACACCTGTTAGGGCAGCACATAAAGTCAAATGGATGATCCTTTTCAGTGCTATACAGCTGACTGTCAGGTTGTCAGCTGTCTGGAAATGCAAGAATCCAGGTTCACCTTGCAGTTACTTGCTGGTGAATGCCAGTACAGCGTTCCAGTTAATGGGAACTAGGTTAACGAGGCTTATTTATTGCCTATGTATGTAAGATACTTGGGTCTCTGATTTGGCAGCTGGTACTTCAAATCCTTTTATTATCTTCTGTAGATGCAGACTTTCTTCCACTGTATACCCTCTGCCCAGACTCTTTGGATAACCTTCTTTTTGTCAGGTTACCGTATAATGGCTTATAGAAACCCTTCCTTTGGTCATACCAGACACATCTGCTAAATTAACACAGCCTTCTTCTCCCCATCAAGTCACAGCATGCAGCATTCCTTTTTGTACCTAGAATTGTGATCAAGAACATGTTCTTCTTAGCTGAATATGCTATGTAGGATGTGAAGAAAATAGGCAAAAAGTAAAGCTGTCTTGACTTTGAAATAGCTTGTAGTATAATTGAATTGTTGGTTCAGCACGCTGTAAAAGTATGTATGTTCAAAATACTATGTTCTTTGTTTCTCTTTTAGTCTCTGTTGGAAAAGTTCTTGATCCCTAATGCTTCACAAGCAGAAAGTAAAGTTTTCTATTTGAAAATGAAAGGAGACTACTACCGTTACTTGGCTGAGGTTGCTGCTGGAGATGACAAGAAAGGTATTGTATGTCAGCTTGTGGCTAAACATTGTCAAATTAGATTGCTTTTGGTGGGGCGGTGACATGACTAATTTTAGAATAATTCTGATTTGGGTGTAAATTTCTTTAGTAATAGGCTTCCTGTTTTCTGAAGAAAAATCATAGGTTGTTTGCTTTCAAATGAGTTACGAAAGTTTCCATGTACCTCTGTTGTTTGAAGCAGGGAACAGATGTTCAGTCATGAAATCTTGAAATCAACTCCAACTTACACATGCGTGCATCTGGTTTATCACTGAACTACAGGTTTATGCATCTTCTGCCTGGCTGAGTATTTTTTTTTTTTTTTACCTCTTTGTAGGGAGACAAAGTCTTGTAGCTTTCTGAAGTCTTATTCATGCTATTTCTCCTGCATTTCTACAGAATACAAAAAGTCTGCATAGGTTCAGTGAGCAGAGAGACTAGAAACCACCTGGAGAAGAAAAGGATTGATAAAACTAATCTTACAGTTAGGAAAATTTCTTCCATAACCATGGTAGTTTAATATCCAAATTTTTTTATTTCCTCAAGTTTCTTGTATCTTCATGTAAGCAGCTTGTCATAATTGCAGGTAAGTTGCCTTCACCTAAATTTAGTTAGAAAATTTAATATAAGGCACTTAATATATTAGGTGGCTTAACTGCTGTAGTTGAAGAGATACCCGAACAACATGCTGATTCCACGCAGAGTCACCTTCAATTCAGAACAACACACTGTGTTTAGATACAGCTCATTGCAAACAGTGCTAAGCTGTTTCCTGGAGCCAGTTTAGGACTGCTGGCAGCGTGCCCTGAAGAGCAGCGCGCTTCAGCACAGAGCCCAATCTGGTAACTTCTGCTAGCCCTGAGCTGTTTTCTTGCAGACTCGGTTTAGTCTGCGCTCAGTCTGCAGAAGTGTGGGATGTTTGGGAGCGTGCAGACAATCTGAATGCATGGACTTGGGACACTTGGGGATTATCGGAGAACCATTCAGCTGTGCGGCTGATGCTTGGTGGCACTCCGCCCTTTTGTAGGACTTAGTAGGTTCCTTGCGGTGCTATTGAACATGTTGTGCCCGTGTGGCCTTGTGCTGCTCTCAAGCTAATAAGCTCTCCCACTATGATACAGAAGGATGTCTGCGTGACTTCACAAACTAGTTTGGTATAGAGGTGAAACAGATGTGGAATAATTTCAAGGGGACAGATACGTCTGCTTTAGCTTTGTGGCATATGTGTTATATCCACATTACATATAGCAGTATATGTATGTATATACCACATATACCCAGTTTCCCTGGTATGCTGGATAATAGGGAGTTGCATAAAGATACTTAAGACTTAGTATAATAGGGCTTGATTTGACTTCTGATGCTTTACTGCGTGCAAACTGACCCAGTCTTGGTGGCAGCAGAATTGCACATGTAACCAGTACTTTAGATCTGTTACTGTACAGAGAGTAATTATCTCTTCCTTTTAGTAGTCTCTGTTCACATGCATAGAAGGTACAATATTTTGAGTCCCAAAGTTTCTTTTTCTGTTGAGGATTAAGTTACAAACTCTAAAATTAGACTGTGAAAATCTTTGTTTAAAGTGGTTTTGAAGCTCATTTTTATTTAACCCAGTCTCCTAGCTGAGCAATTTTTAGTGGGTTTCCAGATGAAGAAAACTTTTTGAAAACCCATCTAGCTCATAGTTGCTATGGCTCTTAAACTTAAGAATGGCTCTTAAACTTAAGATTTTCCCCCCCCTCCCTTTTTCTTCCTGCTAAGTGTTTCATCTCACAGGCTTTTCCTGTATGCTCTCTGTGACCTTGAAGAGCAGTTGATAATTATTGTTTAGGAAATAATGGCCATTTAGTTGGACAGTATTCTTTCAGCCTTTTGCAGTAAATACAGCAACAGTATAAAGCTCCCAACTCTAGGAATTGGATTTTTATCTTCATAAACCAGATCATTTATCTCATCGACTGGGGTTTTCTTACAGCAATCTAGTGGACAGGAATGTCAAGCAGGTACCTCACCCTGCTATTTTAGCCTTGAACTTTGGAACTGTACAACACTTTATAAAGAATTCAAGGTTAAAAATCTTGCAACTTTTTTTTATACTGGGTGACTGATTTAAAAATTAACAGAATACATCAAATTTTGCACTAAGTTCCTCAAATCACTGCACAAAGGGAAACTGTTTTCTAAAATAAGGAGGAAAAAAACAGGCCTTTTTTAAAGTTACTTATGTTAAAGAAAAATTATTAAAAAAATAAAATGCTCAGCTTCATTCCTTGAAGTTACATGTTTTTCCTGCTGCTTGTTTTTGCCTTTCATAAACAGTGCCATTTTCTAAGGCTTTTCCATTATGAGAAGAGTACTTCTCACTATTTCTAAATTTAACTTAGAGTAAACCTGGTTCTTCTCAACCATATTATACCAACTTCACTTTCAAGGCATTATGGCAGTTGTCTGATTTTTCCGAAGCACTCCATTATTACTGATGAGTGTAGAGAGGACAAAGTGTTGAATAATTGTGCAGTGAGTGTCTTCTCTCTTCCCTGTTGAAGAGGGCAATATGATGCTTTAATTTTTGTGCATGCATAAAGGTGAACAAATAGAGATTGCATAGATGTCCTGAATATTGGTATTCTCAGACTTTGAGTACTTCTGACTTAAGTACTAATATATTTTTTGAGTCCTTAGCCTAAAATTCCTTTCCTTTATTTTTGAATACATGTGACTGGCACTGTTGCAGAGATCATGCGGGATGCATTTCTGGTTTAATCCAGAAATGTTAGCATTGGAATCCTTTGCATCTGAATTGAATGACTTCCTGCCCACCTTTTTTTTCAGATGCTATTAACAGTCTCGGAAAGTGCAGGAACAACGGTCTCTTTGTGCTCAGCATCTAGCACATCTCTTGCCTCCTGCAGTCATCAAGGGCATAGTCCAGCTTGTGGGTTGTGCTGGGCCACGGTCTCTGACTTGTGCACGCACAGTCTGCTCATAAGTTCAAGTGCATTCAGTGAGAATGGAAACTGATGAGCTCTTCAATCTTAGTATACAAGATATAGTAGGTTTTTAACACCAACCATTTATAACTTGCACAATTGAACCAATTAAGAGAATGGCAAAAGATTAATCTCTAAAAAGAGACCAATTGTTAATTTTTCTCCATTGCTTCAAAGTTTATAGGTACTAGAACATTTAAGTTAGGTAAAAATGCTTTCCATAGCTGTATTGGAAATGGAACTATGTTGGAAGCTTTTAAAAATATATATTTAATTCAGGTTGAGGTAAGCCACACTATCTTTGCCAAGCAATTTGAATGGGAATCCGTAGATGACTGTTACTGAAAGGGTTCAGCATGATAGGCAAAAGTGATCAGTGTTTTCTGTGACTAAAATGTGGATCTGTAATGCTTTGTATTATTTAAAGACATTGAAATTGTGGTACTACGTCGAACCTGTGTGTAGTTAAAACTTCAATTTTGTACCTTTCATTTAGGTGGTGGTTTTTATAGTCCTTAAGTGCTACAAAACTGCTGCAAACATTTGTAAATACAAGTAGTCACAGGGTGGCAGGGAGAGACTCAAACCTGTGATTTGGTCAATGACAATTTCCTTTTTTTGAATAATTTAAAAATGCAATTTAGTAAAATCTTCATAAACAGTGACTTCTTAGGTAAAGTGCTCATTCCCAGGCATTCACTCTTAACATAGTTTGTTCATGCGAGCATGAACACAGTCCTGATTGTATGTCTGAATACAGTATATGAATTGCTTACTTGTTGTGGTTTTTGTGTGTGTGTGTGTGTTTTTTCCCCGAAGGGATAGTGGAGCAATCACAACAAGCATATCAAGAAGCTTTTGAAATCAGTAAAAAGGAGATGCAGCCGACACATCCTATCAGATTAGGTCTGGCTCTAAACTTCTCCGTGTTTTATTATGAGATTCTTAATTCTCCGGAGAAAGCCTGTTCCCTTGCAAAAACGGTAAGTCTAAGAGGGGGGCAGAAATTCCATTTATATTATTTGCATAACCTTTTGTCGCATGGCCAATGGAGTTGTTTGTTTTTATAACACCAGGCTTTTGATGAAGCAATTGCTGAACTTGATACATTAAGTGAAGAGTCATACAAAGACAGCACGCTAATAATGCAGTTACTGAGAGACAACTTGACAGTGAGTATCATTAAAGTTTGCATATTGTTGATAACAGGTTTGGGTTTTGTGGCACTCAAGAGTTGTCCTGTTCATTTTTAGCTGTGGAGCTGTGTCTGTCATTTACTTACACATGAGTTTACGGTACATCATGTTTCTGAGCTACATCTTTTTCTCCTGCCTAGTCTTTTTTGTCTGCATGCTAGTTAATTCCTGACATGACAAATTGACCACATTTTTCAGGTTTTTTTATTCAAGGAATTTAGCTTATTTAAGTGGCGTAGTTTGGACTGTGACTAGCAAAGCTGTTATCTTTTGTCAAATAGCATTTGAGGATAGTCGCATTTGCCTCTTCAAAACTTACGTCAAGTTTCATATTCCTTACTCTGTGTGATTGCATATGCAAGGAATAGATCCTACATGAAAACTACAAACAAAGCTAGCAGGTCCACTTAAGGGCCTGTTGTTTGGGGTTTGGTTTTTTTTGTTTGATTTTAATTTTGCTAAAGCTGAAATTAGAATCAATGCTAGCCAGGCTATTTCCATGGCAGTCATAAAACAACTGTCTTAATTCTTTTTTTCCCTTGGACTCATAGCTGTCTGTGGTGTAAGTTATGGACCAAGATTGTGTTGCTCTGTCAGAGTAATCAAAATCTTCATCTTGTGTGTGGGGTTTTTTTAACCTACTTTGAACTTTAAAACTGGCAAAGATAAACATCTAAAGCAAATGAAACAGTAAATGTAAGCAAACATGCAATAGTGTAATTAATGGCACAGTTCACTCCCAGGTCTTCGGGGGGTGGGAAGGGAGAGCTGCAAGCCAGAACTGAAAAAATAAGAAGCATCTCTTATCACCAGATGTAACCCCTTGTTCACATTCTGTGCATCTGATATCAGAGACATTGACAAAATAGCTGGGCTTCTTTTAACATAACAAGAAGTAAAGTTGTAGAGTTGCATAAAATTGGAGTTGCCATATTTTCTGCTTTTGTTTCCAACACTTTATTTCCCTGTTCCTTGGAACCTTTTCCACTAGAATAGCAACTTAACACTACTGAAATAACTGCTTGTGATTGTTCCAACCTTTACTTACAAAACAAATTGAAGAGATTTCTCAACCTCTGTAATGGAGACAGATACAGGGTTGGCATCACTCTCAATGTCTGTGTGTGCTGTCCCCTTGAGTGAGATTGCTCAAGAGCTGTCCTCGGAATGAGTGGCATTGAAATAGAGAATAGAAGCTCACTGTAATTGCTAGCTTCCCAGTAAAAATAATGTAAAGCTTGCCATAGCAGTTGGAAAGCAAATTGTTTCATACCAGAGCAAAAGTTGGAGTGAGCTACTGTAGTGTGTGAATTATGGTAGCAGGCCTGATAATTAATACGAGCTTTCCATTGTAAGGGGGAAAGCTGTAGACAGCTGCAGGATTCTGTATTCTTGAATGGATGATATGTCTTGCCTTAAATGCTTAGCGTGACTTGTACAAGTGCATTTCTTGTTTTTCCACAACTTCTTGAGGTAGAAAATAAGCTATAATGTATGTGTGACTGACAAAGACTGCAATGAATTTCAAAAATGTGAAAAAGGTCTGTTCTGCTAGTCATGTAAGTCTGTTACAAAGACTTTGGACAGCGATTCAGCATGCTGATCAGTTACGTGCAGGAGCGATTTCCTCAATGTTGATTCTTTTTACATTGAGTCTTGCATGGCTGAAGAAGAGTCTGTGTTCGTTCTCAGTGGGGACTGAAGGCAGACAAGTGTTCAGAGGGTTGTTTAATCTATCAAGTCAAAATCTGTTTTACTGGGATTGCTAGATAATTGCTTCTTTGCTCTGTTATGAAATTGTTTTTTCTTAAAAAAACAAAACAAACCAGAAAAGGCATCCCTTACCCCTAAGAGTTTTTTTCCTCAGCAGATTTGTTAAACTGTGCTCTCAATTGGTAATCCTCCTTTCATACCAGTCAGGCCCTTTTAATTTAATGAATAAAGGCATGTATATGTATGTATCTGTAGATAGTCTAAAGATGAGGATTTAGGATAGAAGCCTCTGATAAAATTTAATAAAACTGTTCTTACTAACTGTTCCTTATAAGAATAGCACTGAAGTTGAGAATAACGTAGTGTTCTAATAATGTAGTACAGAATGCAGTGCAGAGGCTAGAAGCAGATGAGTATGCTGTTGTCTCCAGTAAACTATCTTGTTGCCTAATGCCTTCAGCAAGGAACATTTAGTGCAGATATCGTGTATTATGGTCAGAGCAAGAACAAAGCTACTGGTCTTGTGCAAGTTTCTCTATTGTCTTGTACCCCTGGAAAGAATAAAATGTTTCTGATTATGGTTTTTGTTTTTGTTTTTTTTAGCATCTTGTGAGAGCTTAGTGTAGGTAGAGAGTAGACTGTAGGTAGAGAGAGAATTAGTAGTTCTCAGGTTTTACCACCTTATGATATAGAGCGTGAAGGATTCGGTTAATGCTGCTATAACTCCATAAAGCAAGAGATTATAAAGCGAGAGATTACAAATCATACTGGGCTGGTAATAGTTTGGAAGCAGCCAGCGTGGCAAAATACTTGGTTCACAAAATAATCTCTCTGCCCTGGATGTTGCTCTGGAACTGATGCTTAGTTTCCTTAGTTGGTACTTAATCTTGATATATGGCTCCTTAGTATGATTTTATGGAGCTGAAAATAAGATTTTGTGCATACTGCGTGTTTAGCCTGATTTTCTTCCCTCCTTGCCCTGCCCTCCAAGTTTGGAAGCTCTGTGTTCCAAAAGTTGCTGAAGGGGGGCACGACTTACTGAATAGAGCTAAGGGACAGAGATTTCAGTGAAATGTTTGTGGTTTTAAAAAATCAAAAAACTTCAGATGCCTGTTTTGAAGAAAAGGTAGCATTCACCCTAATGCTGGATGTCGAGAGAGGCCTTTACTGAAGCTCTTCCTTCAGAAAGATGCATAAAGCTCACATGACAAGAAGGTAGAAATCCACAGGAAACCAAGTATTCTTAGTTCCTTGTTCTTCATATATCTGTTCTGTAGGTCTGATTATTGCCTGCTTGTAATCATATTTTAGTGAGCCTTGTGGATATGAGACTCTGGTTTTGACTGTTCATGAACTTCCTCATTAAATGCAGTGTAGGGTTGGGGCACCTAGGACTAGATTTCCATTATGTCTTGTGTAGAAGTAATAGCCAAGAAATATAGTCATGTTAATGTGTGCTTTTTTTTTTTCTATGGTGCTTAGTAGGACCTCTTACAAAATTATTATTTAAGAGGTAGGCTTTCTTTCTAATAATTCCTTATTAGTATTTAGTCATAATTGTTAATATCTTACATATTTTATTCTGTTTTCTTTCCCAAACAGTTGTGGACATCGGATACCCAAGGAGATGAAGCCGAAGCAGGAGAAGGAGGGGAGAATTAACCAGCCTTCCAACTTCCATCTGCCTCATTCTGAAATTTACACAGTAGACCATTTGTCATCCATGCTGTCCCACGAATAGTTTTTGTTTACGATTTGACAGGTTTATGTTACTTCTATTTGGATTTCTATATTTCCCATGTGGTTTTGTTTAATATTAGGGGAATAGAGCCAGTTAACATTTGGGGAACTTACCTGTTTTCATCTGAGGTGGCCAATATAGGGTTGTGAAATTTTTATACAAGTTTTACATGTTTGGCATAGTACTTTTGGTACATTGTGGCTTCCCACAAGGCCAGTGTTAAAACAGCTTTCTATGTCAAGCAAAGATGACTGCTTGCATATTGGTCTGTCATGATGGAAAAAAGGGATAATCAGTTGCAGCCACAGGTGTAGTTAGCATGAATATTCAAGCTGGAGCACACATGGCTGTGAATAAACTGATGTCCCATAGATATTGCATGTCAGGTCAACATGTGAAATCTGTGGAATATACCAATCAAGTATACATCTTTGATTGCAGCTGAAGTGTTCCTTAAGACAGTTTGATAACCCAGTCAGCTTTCTCTAGAGAAGGACAGAGAAACGGTTCACATTCCATTATTTGTAAAGTTACCTGCTGTTGCTTTCATTATTTTTGCTACACATTTTATTTGTATTTAAATGGTTTAAGCAACCTAAGAACAAATGTACAAGTAAAGATGCAGTAAAAAATGAATTGCTTGATATCCATAATGACACTGTATATCGAGCACAGCAGTAAAACAAAAACCCATGTATTTAACTTTTTTAGGTTTTTTGCTTTTGTGATTTTTTTTTTTTGATACTTGCCTAACATGCATGTGCTGTAAAAATAGTTAACAGGGAAATAACTTGAGATGATGGCTAGCTTTGTTTAATGTCTTACAAACTTTTCATGAACAATCCAAGCATAACTGTTCGAACATGTGTATTAAGTTGATGTAAGTGGAATAAAAGTTTTATGAATGGACTTTTCAACTACCTTTGGTGTAGATTTCATGTCATCTGTCTTCCCACACCTTTTAGAGTAATGGCAGTATTATACACAAATTCAATATGAAGTATTTTTATTATGGAAAATATTAATACACATTTAGGCATTTAGTGAATTTCAGGGAAGTCCAGATTGAATATTTCATATCTGATTTTATGATTGCTCTAATTAATTTTCAACTTTTAGATGCCCACAGCTTTCTAACTGTCTCTCTGGGACTCTGGAGATACCTTAACAAACATACGGTCCCCAGACTTACGGCAAAAGGCATATGAAGTTCTTTAAGAGCTGACCTTTGGAATAGGTCTAGTTATGTGGAAACCCATAGCTTGCCCTTCAGAGGAGAACTGAGCAGGAGCCTCTGTGGAGTTCAGAGGGTTCAGGCACTACAGCTCAGTTTGTGGAAAGGCTCCCCAGAGTAACGATGCTCTTCCTTTCCTTGTCCTCGGTGAGGTCTGCACTGATGGCATTCACAGAATAGCTATGACATTTGTAGATACTTTTTTTGAAACTGAAATAATTACAGGGAAATGGAGACTAATTTTCAAACAGTATCATGTCTCTGCCAAGAACTGAGACTCCTGGAAAATAATTTAATTGTATTAAAAAATTCTTGTTGTCTTTATGTAGCCAACATAAGGCAAGCTTGAGTGGCCTCTCTCTTGATTGAGCTGCACCTCTAAGCACAGTGTAAGTATTTTCTAGTTTGAGATACCTTTTATTTGGGTGAAAAAGTTATCTTGGTGTCACCAGGTTAATGTGATAGCTGGAAGAATAAGATGAACCAAGTCACTGAACATGAACTCCATTGCCTTACCCTTTTGCACATGCAGTGGACTTCAGCAAGTTACAGGTCTGACTTTTATCAGTGTAGGCTTTTTCTTGCATTAAAAAAAAAAAAAGTTAAAATACATATGGTCATTGGATTTGGAATGTGATGCTCCATTTCTAGAAGCAGCTGAGCCCTTGGTCCCAGAATTTAAGGATCGAGATTGGTAGAAAAGGTGGATAGGATAATCTTAAACCTTAAAGTAGTTAAGGACACCAGTCACCATTCCTAGAATTGAAAGTTAATAATCTGTTATAATAGGTAATAAAAATTAGAGTCTGATTAAGAACAGGAAGAAGGGAAGAATATGGAGGGCAAAGGTTAATGAGGCTTAATAAGGGAGAATTTAGTATATCCCTCAATTACCACTGCAAAAAGTAACAATGACTTCTTTAATACATGAAAGCACTTGTCAAAAGGAAAAAGCAGTACTCAAATACATTTACAAAACAAAGAGCTACATTCCAGTCTGGAAGCAATGCAAGTTGGCAGACCATGACTAAAAAAATTCCTTTGGGGACATTGGATCCACTTTTAGAAAGGAAAGACCATAGCTCACTCTCTAGCAAATGTGAGTTCTGTCTCAGAAAGGCTTTAATAAAGATGTTGCCTGCTTCCATAACTTGAAAGGATTTGGCTTTCAACTTGCATGGTAAATTGCTTTACTCAAAACTTAAATTTAAGCTATATAAAATAGTATGACCTGAAAGTGCCTTTTTTTTTAAAAAAAAAAAAAAAAATCACACCACCTTTATCCAACTGTTTAAGAAAGTTTTGAGTTAATAGGGTTCTGTAAAGTTACTCCATGTACCTGGAGAAATCAAGGTATTACTGAAAATTAAAAAGCACATAATCAAATGACAACTGGTGGGATATAGCAGAAGAAATATTTTACTCTTGTTCCTTTAAACACAAAGTATCTTTATATAGAAGGTCATTTGAATTTTTTGGTGCGGTGTTTTTTGGTTTGTTGGCTTGGTTTTGGTTTGTGGGGGGGTTTTTTGTTTGTTTTTTCTAAAAGAAAGCCACCTCTTATTTCACTACCTAAACTGATGTTTTAAACACCACAGAAGGTTCGCCCCTCAGTCTTCATTTCCTCCATTCTTCCACTAGAGTGATCTACACTGTTTGATCATGAAAAAAATTTCCTGTATTGAATGCTCAGCCTCCTCTTATTACAACCATATTTTCATGTATTTTTAGTCTTTGTTCTGATATTGAAGACCCTCCTGAAATGCGTCAGTGTTGCTTCACACAGCGCACAGCCCGTTCTGCAATGTAGTCTCCTGCTTTGTTGAGCAGAACAGGCTCACGGGGGCCTTGAATTCTTTGAGCCTCTCATGCGGCAGTCACACTGCACGCATTTGCAGTACAGAATGCTATTTCTACAGGAACTGCGTAGTGCTTACAAACTATGGACTAGGCAGCACAGGTTGAAGGGGCAGCGCAGTGAGAGAGGTTGGGGGCGGCTACGCTGAACTGCCTGTTGCACTGAGGGCGGCCTGCCATCCACCCTGCAGCCCTGTGCTCCTGAAGGGCAAGGCTTCCAGAATGATAATAAGGGCATGCAGAGTTTAAAGATGCAAGTTCAAGATGCTGTAGAAGCAGTCTCTGACAGTCCAGTTGGCACCTATGTTTTACCCGCCTTTTGCTTCAGGTCCCTCTGGGAAGCAGTAGCTAAACTAGCTACACCACCTCTTGGTAAGCAGTCTGTGCAGCTGGCAGCGTGTGACCGGCTATGCTTCCTTGTTTCCAGTAATTTACATCTCAGCAAGATCCTGGCAGGCTGATATTTCCAGACTCTGAACAGAGGAGGGAAGGAAGGACAGCCCTATGGATAAGAAAATGTATTGGAAGTCAAGATTTAGCCTCTCTTCCCAACCCTCTCTTGGGATTTTTTTATGGTAAGTAGCTTTATTTTCTTCCAAGGTGCATTTAAAAGTTGTTGGAAGATAGGGAACCCCAGCCATTCTGAAAATGGTTACTCAAAGTACCCTTTCAAAGAGGGGAAGTTGCTTGCTACTGGTGTGGTAAGGTGCGTCAAAACTCATGTGAGGAACGTGTTGAAAGTGAGAACTAAATAATCGCTGTAGCCTTTGAGCTACAGCCTTTGATTCAAAGGCCTTGCATTAATCTTGTGGATATAACTGAAAATAATTTTTTGTCTACCGCACCCTTAGTAAAATTAGTATTACCTGTCAGCTGTAGTAGTAGGAGCTGCTAGTTGTTATAAGACCCAAGTATGCTTTTCCACTCTTGACACTATGAATTACACAGTAAAGGTTGCTTGATTCGTTTATTCTTCTGTTTTAATGTAACAAAATCAATTGCTTTAAGGATTCTTCTCCTTTTTTCCTATCCTTTTGTAGCCTAGTCTGAAATAACAAAAGAAAAAATAATTTTAAACCTGCCAAGTGCTAATTGCCATAACAACTACCTGCTTTTTAAAAAATTCAGAAACATTCATGACGAGACAACTCCAATATGAATCCAGAAAATGAAGTTCAATTCTCTGTTTTTAACATTGCGCCTCGCTGTCCCCAAGCTCTGCTTTTGACAGATGAGTGACAGGAAAGTGCTCCAAAGACTTCCTATCCCATGTAATTCAGTTCCCAGCTGAAAGCAGAAAAGCTGAGTCTGTGCTCCTGGTTTGGTCTCGGGGTGAGAGATCCCCCTCGGGTTGGTGTGATTGTACCGGAGTCAGCACTTTGCATTATCATTAGTTGTTTGAGTTGTGGGTCAAGTTATCTTCTACCCTCTCCTCAGCAAGGCTGATGTGGAGCTTCAGTAAGCTTCAGCAACGCACAGCAGTCTTTCAATGGGTGCTTGAAGCAGAGTGAACTGCTTGAGAGGTGTAGATTTGCTTTGGAGATGAGAGGGGACATTAGGGGTGTTAGTCATCCTGCTAGCGCTGGCTGGTGCGGGAGGACTCTTGGATCACAGGGTGGGGCTGTGGCTATGCATCCCTTACCTCCACCATTTAGATGAGGGATGCATCCACTGGTTTTCCAGTGGGCTAACAGTTATTAGCAGTGAAATAGGTATGGGGTGGAGCCAAGTCAATCATGCTACGTACCAAATTGTTTTTTTAGAACTAGAGAAGAAAATGGCAATTTCAGATTCTGTTCTTAGGCAAAATACAACAATTATGGCTTGGAAGTAGGAGTTTCTAAGGGCTTCAGAGGTTCACTGTGCAAGCCATGCAGTTTTGCTTGGCCTTTCAGGAACCCACATTTTTGGAACATCTGAGGTTCCTGCAGTGAGCAGGGCAGTTTTAGACATGTTTAGAGAACTTTCTGGTAGAGCTGTCCTGCAGAATTTTTTTTTTTTTTTTTTTTAAGGAAACTTTTTCTAACACAGCTGCTTATATGGATGCTTAGCCCTACTGGCAAAACCTCCAGACATTACTGGATTGTAGTGGCTGAAAGTAGCCTTGAAGGAAGCTGAAACATACGGGGGCCCCAAACTCAACTGCTAGATGCAGATCTGGAATGCTATAATTCATTGCAGACCCATTACTTTATGTGACTCCTGACTGGGAGGGAGAGGGCAAAAAGAAAAGGTTTCAAGGACAGAATTTCAAATATGTTATGCCCTGGATTACGTGTCTGGGGCTTGTCTTTAAAAGGGCTTGGAAAACAGTTGAAGAAAATAAGTATTTTTAACCGTAGGCTACCTTTCTTTTGTTTTCTTTTTCTTTCTTAGGGTGGGTGTTTTTTATGATTTCTTTCTTACTAGATACGTGCTTCCCTGAAGCAACTTAGCAAATGATTTCTGTTGACCAGCCATTTCTTGCCTGACAAGAAACATTGGTTTTAGTGGGAGGAATTTCTCCCTTAATGCCTCTGCTTGCTCCATGTTCGTTCTTCTCCTTCCTTTTAATCCTGGTCCATTGTATAAGCTGTGCTGTAGCGCTTTAAAGCTGGAGCATTTCATGAGGAATCTACACATCTGTGGTGAGAAAAGTGATATCTGCATATTGGAAGCATTCATTTAGAATGCCACTATTGCTGTAGATTAGAGTGTCATCTGCATAAAATCTAAATATCATAACTTGAGCTGCCATCACAGCAGACCATCCCAGGGAGTCTGGCAAGCGTGCATGGACCCCAGGTGACTTGTAGGGCGGACATAACAGCTTGTCAACACATGTGAATT